ACGTATGATTAGTCGACGTTGTCGGATAGGTGTGATTCCATGATTTCGAGGATGAGCGCGCGTACTCGCCCCATCGTCTCACTCTGCTTCTTTGGGGATTCTCCAACCCTCTGGTTCTCTGGAGAGATCCATCTCTCTCTGTGGCTTCACTCTGTTTCTCTCTACACTGATCAAATCACCACATTTCCACCAACCCATCTTCTTCTTCTTCGGACTTCCTGCGTACTCAAAGCCAAGCCAAGCCTCTCGGCACAACAAGTAAGTTCCACGCCGCGGTGCAGCTGTACAGGACACGTACAGGCTCACACGCAGCAATTGAGTTTTGCCTTTGACCTATGACTACAAGATTCCACAATTGGGTGCTCCGCTCATGTACATCAGTGGTCATTGCTGCATAGGGTTCGTTCTGCTCGCGCAGCACACTGCGGAAAGAGCACGCACCTACTCTAGAACAAATCAGGACATATTTCGACGACAATCTACAACACCCCTTCGAGAACCGATATGGGACAATCGTCAACATTTACACGCCTACACCCCCCAAGACGATGGTCTTCCTCCTTTGCCAGAGCTCCCAGCCCCACAGGATCGACCACACCCATCCGATCAATATCGGGGCGGTCACCATCTGCAAGATGCCGACCAGCACATTCTTCAGGTCGAAAGTGCAGATTCCGGCGACGATTGTTCCAGCTCCTGGTGCATTGTTGACATTTTCCCATGGAATGTACGGCATGCGTGATGAGTGTTAGCAAGATGGGGACACACACAATACTGAATGCACGGTGTGCGGGGGGCACGGGCGACGGGAGAGGGTGGGAAGGCGACCATGAACTCGAAGGAACAGAAACTTGTGGGCATTGGCGAAAATGGTTGCATGTGCCCGGATTTCAGAGCTAAAAGCTGTTGATTCTGCAGAGATTCATGCAAGGTGCGATGCGCTCTTCGCGGCTTGACTGAGTACGCCTGACTCGAGTGAGTTGTGTGAGATGAAGATGAGGGCTGCACCACTCCGGTACAACGCGTACAACATCACCATAAAGCAGAACAGAGGAACAAAACAACAACGGTGACCTGGTTGCCGAGCTCACGAAGTGAATTGGCTTGTTATACGACGTCGTTGCCAAGGCACGAAAACCCAACCCCGATGGCAAACGCCGGGGGGCGGGGGGTGTGTACCCATGGTCGTGCATACCGTGGTCGTTNAAGTGTGTTCAGCATCTTATGCTTACTTCCTTGCGTACGGATGACAGCTAGCTGCGCCTTGAGTACTTGTCTGGTGCTTTCACTTCCAGAGACAGTTAAAGCCACTGTGAAACTGCGTCGAGGGTGCTTGACCACTTAACAGAACGTGGTGCGATCATCCCCCTTGCACGGAGTGAGGCTTCTCCACCCCGCACAACATGATCCACTCAACCACCGTCATGGTCACCGCTATAGCACAACAGAGGAACAAAACAACAACGGTGACCTGGTTGCCGAGCTCACGAAGTGAATTGGCTTGTTATACGACGTCGTTGCCAAGGGACGAAAACCCAACCCCGATGGCAAACGCCGGGGGGCGGGGGGCGTGTACTCATGGTCGTGCATGCCGTGGTCGTTAGACTATTGCCCACGCATCCCTACAAAGCCGGGACGGAGCACGCCGGGGTCTCACCGGACCAGGCTCTCACATCACCAAGCGCAAAGCGCCGTGAGATATTTGGGGAGTCGCATGAAGGGTGCGCTGCATCCTGCTAAGTGTGTTCGGCATCTTATGCTTACTTCCTTGCGTACGGATGACAGCTGCGTATGACTTGAGTGCGAGAGAATTCCTTCCTGGAACAGTTTTTTGGCTTTCTCGCGACAACACACTGGAACTTGGAGAGACCCGTCCGATGCAATTGTTCACCAGACGTAACATGCTAGAGTACGTTTTGGTAGCAAGCGTTGGATAGCAGCTTTTTTGCCTCGTGGATTCTAGTTAACATTGGAGAAGGCATCGTTTTGGAACANCCGTCCGATGCAATTGTTCACCAGACGTAACATGCTAGAGTACGTTTTGGCAGCAAGCGTTGGATAGCAGCTTTTTTGCCTCGTGGTTCTGGTGAACATTGGAGAAGGCATCGTTTTGGAACCTGAATCGCTTCGATTACTAGAGGTTCGCATCCTGTTTGGTGTTGTTCTTCAATCCACCAATTTCATACACTCGAAACCTTCAGCACGATGAGTGAAACATACCTACTTGTATTCATTCAGTTCCGTACCATCATTTTATGCTCCTTTTGCACTCAAACGGTTGACGCCGCGAGTCGAGTTTCGGAGGTATATTGTACAGTCACCGCCCGCACTTGCGGTTCGGTACTTGTACAATAAAGGAACCATGGCCGTTGCTCAGACCGTAACGGATACAATATTATTTCCGACCGCACTTGCTGTTCGGTACTTGACAAACAGGAACACGGCCGTAACGAAACGTTTGTTTCACAATAATATTTCGAAGTGTACGACTGCGAAGCAATTTATTACCCAAAAATAGAAGCTGCCCTACCCATCGAGGAAGTAACTCCAGCGTCGCGAAATAGGAGGTTCTTAAGTGCGGCCGGGTTCCCATGAAACATATTTGTCGCGAAGAGTAAGAGCTCCACATTCGACCCCGCGATCTATCTATTCCTATTTGTGGCTGTTCGACTAAAAAAATGAGAACGACGAATTTCTCCAGGTTCCTCAGGAAAACTGTTCAAGTATTGCCAGCAAGAGAAGAACTTAGCCATGGACAAACGATACGCAAGAGACGGAGAGGGCACAGGAGGACGCCTTGACTTACTCGCCATCACTTCACACCATGTCACGCAGATACAAAAAGCGAAAACACGGAACATCATACGATTGAACCAAGGGGCAACGAATTACAGTGGTGACCCCACTCTGTACAACGCTTCTGCCGAACACTAGTACATATATGCACGTTTCAACCTCTTTTTGCGTCCCTGTGGCTTTAGTTGAGGGGACTACAACATGGACGCTACCCATTAATCTGCAGAGCAACTCCCAATACGGCGCCGGCATTGGGGCTTCCGGGAACCAGGGCAAAATATTGCAACACATTAGGGAACGCCGTTCGATATGTGGCGTCAGCAACACACGAAGCAGTAAGTGACGGAGAAGCTTCTCGATAAAGTTACACCATCAGACTAGTCAGCCCTGACTAGTCTGATGGTGTGACTTTATCGAATAAGAGATTCTCTTATTCGATAAAGTCNTTGAACCAAGGGGCAACGAATTACAGTGGTGACCCCACTCTGTACAACGCTTCTGCCGAACACTAGTACATATATGCACGTTTCAACCTCTTTTTGCGTCCCTGTGGCTTTAGTTGAGGGGACTACAACATGGACGCTACCCATTAATCTGCAGAGCAACTCCCAATACGGCGCCGGCATTGGGGCTTCCGGGAACCAGGGCAAAATATTGCAACACATTAGGGAACGCCGTTCGATATGTGGCGTCAGCAACACACGAAGCAGTAAGTGACGGAGAAGCTTCTCGATAAAGTTACACCATCAGACTAGTCAGCCCTGACTAGTCTGATGGTGTGACTTTATCGAATAAGAGATCTCATATTCGATAAAGTTACACCATCAGACTAGTCAGCCCTGACTAGTCTGATGGTTTGACTTTGTCGAATAAGAGATAATGCTCAGAGCTCATTCGCACCCGCCTGGATCACTTGGGTTTGTGAGTGAGTAGAGATATCCAGAGACGAACCCCTCGCCAGACGCTGCCTGAAAAGAACTTAATGGTGCTTGGGAAAGTGAGCAGCCGGGATTCGAACCCGTGCGTGCGTCGTTCAGCGCCAAATGTTAAAATTTGACTAGTCACGTCACGTCGGCTGCTCACTTTCCCAAGCACCATTAGGTTCTTGTCAGGCATNAGCTCATTTGCACCCGCCTGGATCACTTGGGTTTGTGAGTGAGTAGAGATATCCAGAGACGAACCCCTCGCCAGACGCTGCCTGAAAAGAACTTAATGGTGCTTGGGAAAGTGAGCAGCCGGGATTCGAACCCGTGCGTGCGTCGTTCAGCGCCAAATGTTAAAATTTGACTAGTCACGTCACGTCGGCTGCTCACTTTCCCAAGCACCAGTTCTTGTCAGGCAGCGTCTGGCGAGGGGTTCGTCTCCGGAGATCTCTACTCACTCACAAACCCAAGTGATCCAGGCGGGTGCAAATGAGCTCTGAGCATATCTTTTAGCGCCAAGTGTTCAATCATTTTACTAAGTCAGCGCTGACTTGACTCTAATGGTTTAACATTTGGCGACAAAGGGTTCACGCACGGGTTTGAATCCCGGCTGCTCACTTTCTCAAGCACCATGAAGTATTTCTGGCAGCGTCTGGCGAGGGGCCCGTCTCCGGAGATCCCTACTCTCTCACAAACCCAACAAGTGACCCTGCCGGGTGCAAATGAGCTCTGAGCATATCTTTTATTCGATAAAGTTACACCATCTGACTAGTCAGCGCTGACTAGTCTGATGGTGTAACTTTATCGAATAGAAGCACCACCAAATCGACCCCGCGTTGTTGGCGGGAGCGTGTGGGAAAGTGAGGGGGTGTGAAACTATCAAATGTCACTGGGGCCCATATCCGCCTGGTTACAGAAGTTGGACAGGAATTATTGCCATAAATCATACCATTGACATACGTATCGCCCTTGATCATCACACCACCCCTCTGCATACCAAAAACGTTTTCGTCTGCGTTTCCGGAAGATATCGTGACAGATGCTTTGAGCACCTAAAATAAGTTGACTACAGAAAACCAAAGCCACACGAAGTAAACGTACTGAATCTCTGTCTTCAACTGAGCAATACCGTTGTCGAGCACGATGAATTCTCACGACCCTACTTCGGAGAAAAAATGCGCCACGTCCAACTTGCGAACCTGCAACACAATCTCGGTCCAGACATTATGCCATTATTGGCTGTGGTGGCCTCTCGCGAAAGTATCTCGCGTTAAGGGACAACGGTATAGTCTAGTGGACCCGGTGACCAGCGAAACCCACGACATTGGTACCGAGGTCCCGCTGCATGCACAGTAGTTGCGCCTTGCGTGGCTCACACCATCCCCCTACATGAATTGCCGACACTCAATATCAGATTGGGGCCTCNGTTGGCATTACCCTAGCTTGAGCATTAGATTTTCAGCTTGACTGGTTCAAATGTTGTCAATGTCGCCATGTCATGTAGGTAAATTTTCGTGTGGTCATACTCGGAATATGGAGTCCTAGTTGATGTTATGTGTTTCATATCCACAACCTGCATCGTCTAGATTCCCTGAAGTATATCATGGCTCATGTCATGCAAGTAGCTCAGACTTGCGGGCTCGGGCGTGCTCGGAAATATACATGCGTCGGAGAGTTGTCGCAAGTATCTCCGACTTGCGTGTATGACGGTATCTATCTCCGACTTGCATGTATGAAAGGACATACCACCGCAAGTAACTCAGATTTGCGTGCTTGCACGAACGGGTGGTCGTATGCGCTCAGCAGCCGAACTTGGAAGTAGCTCCATTGTTGCATGTATTCTGCGTATCGTAGTGCGTCAGTTCAAATAACCACTTGTGCGTGCAAGTACAATACTTGATGTGCACACGTGGCACAAGTTCGATAGCATGGTGTTGAAGAAATCTTTCCAGAAACGTGTCGTAGCTTACCAGTACCGTATTCTGAACACGTATGATTAGTCGACGTTGTCGGATAGGTGTGATTCCATGATTTCGAGGATGAGCGCGCGTACTCGCCCCATCGTCTCACTCTGCTTCTTTGGGGATTCTCCAACCCTCTGGTTCTCTGGAGAGATCCATCTCTCTCTGTGGCTTCACTCTGTTTCTCTCTACACTGATCAAATCACCACATTTCCACCAACCCATCTTCTTCTTCTTCGGACTTCCTGCGTACTCAAAGCCAAGCCAAGTCTCTCGGCACAACAAGTAAGTTCCATGCCGCGGTGCAGCTGTACAGGACACGTACAGGCTCACACGCAGCAATTGAGTTTTGCCCTTGACCTATGACTACAAGATTCCACAATTGGGTGCTCCGCTCATGTACATCAGTGGTCATTGCTGCATAGGGTTCGTTCTGCTCGCGCAGCACACTGCGGAAAGAGCACGCACCTACTCTAGAACAAATCAGGACATATTTCGACGACAATCTACAACACCCCTTCGAGAACCGATATGGGACAATCGTCAACATTTACACGCCTACACCCCCCAAGACGATGGTCTTCCTCCTTTGCCAGAGCTCCCAGCCCCACAGGATCGACCACACCCATCCGATCAATATCGGGGCGGTCACCATCTGCAAGATGCCGACCAGCACATTCTTCAGGTCGAAAGTGCAGATTCCGGCGACGATTGTTCCAGCTCCTGGTGCATTGTTGACATTTTCCCATGGAATGTACGGCATGCGTGATGAGTGTTAGCAAGATGGGGACACACACAATACTGAATGCACGGTGTGCGGGGGGCACGGGCGACGGGAGAGGGTGGGAAGGCGACCATGAACTCGAAGGAACAGAAACTTGTGGGCATTGGCGAAAATGGTTGCATGTGCCCGGATTTCAGAGCTAAAAGCTGTTGATTCTGCAGAGATTCATGCAAGGTGCGATGCGCTCTTCGCGGCTTGACTGAGTACGCCTGACTCGAGTGAGTTGTGTGAGATGAAGATGAGGGCTGCACCACTCCGGTACAACGCGTACAACATCACCATCATTGCTCGGAAGCCCGAATAATCTGATCGAACTTCTTAAATGTTGAGTGAAACTGACACCACTAATGTTTCGCTGCCATGGCCAAGCAAGACTGGGACGTACTGGCTGAGACGAATGCAGGGAAAAACGCAATGCATTGTTTTCAAGAGCTGGCACGGGAACAACCGTGCTTGTCACCGTGCTGTCCCATCGATTGCACGGGGTCTGCATGATCACACCTTGCGAATTACTCCAGACGGGGAATCGTGAAGGATACAAAAACACAAAAGAGCAACCCTGCGCGGAAACAGAACCGGAATAATACGGAATCGGAACCACCAACTGAATCGATGTCGCACCAAAACAGGACAGGGTACCGAGCGGCCGATTTGGAGATGGATACCATGCTCCCATGCCACCACCGACGTAGCGAAAATTCGACCCTGCTGTTGTTGGTGGGCTTGAGACTCCAGGTCCATACAAACTCAAACATGCGTTGTCCCAGCTTCGAACTACTTCTATTCAGGATCGACTCTGAATGGAATACAGGTATCTGTGTGCTGTCTGCCCTCCGAACCACAGCGAGGTCCAAGCTTAGCACCGCGGCGAAACAGCAAACTTAACATGAAAAGGCGCCGACCGGGGAAGGGGAACCCGAGTATTTTCTTGACGTGGGAAGGACTTGCATCGCATCGTTTTCATCAAGCTGTCGCTGCTGTATAGAGCCGCTCCTACATTGCTATGTGGTCGTTCTGCATGTGCCGGTGTGGGGGGTGACGCCTCAAACATCATGTCCATAGCATTTTAGTAGATATTGAGCTTTACCTGAACCGCCTCCGCACATAAACCCCTTGGCTCCCGAGAGTGACGGCGTCGTTAGAACGTCTCACTGGGTGGGAGAGCACAGAAACCTGAGGTCATCCCCGAGGAGCAATAGCTTTGCTTCACTGTCACTCTCAATCCTCTGAGCTCTCGACCAGTTGTTGAACTATGGTCGAGTATACCTACTTCGTGCTCGAGGACAGCCACATGGATTCAATTCTTGCGCCAAAAAAAATATTGATGGAGCACAGGAGGAGACGCTCGGATTCCCGTGGGCAAGGGCTTGAAGTTCGAGAGGAAAAGGCAGGGTGTTCGCCCCTACGTTCGTTTTGGACAGTCTAGATGGTGTTGTTGTCGCTGTTGCTCGTTTGCTATCATCGTCGTTATCGGTGTTGTCTATTTGTCATGTTGTTGTTGTTGTTTCTCGTCCCGTAATCTCCACAGCCGACAACCTACAGGAAGTCCCAATGCTCTCATCTCGGAGACTTGCTCAGGCGAACCTCGAACGACGACGGAAAAAATAGAAGCGCGGAATGAATGTATATCTACCGTAGCTGGTGTCATGGGACTACGGAAGACGGCAGCGGTCATCGTAGACTGGATGACGGCGAAACTCAAACAAAATAAGTCGTGGCAGACTCGACCGTCATGTGATGTTGAGTACAAGGATCTGAACGGTTGTAAGCAAGATATTTAGATCTGGCGGGAATTGGAACTCCCTTGGNGCACTATTGAGAGCTCCCCCTGTGTGCAGAGATTTTACCGGCACTATACCGGGCATCTGGCACTATTCAACCGGCACGAAAAGGGTCCCTCGACTGTACTGTAGACTGTGCGAAGATACCACGATCTGTCGGAGTGGTTGGTTCAACGCGACCATCCCATGCCGAGGTAAGATAGCGGACTACATGCATCCAGTGCATATCACAGCTCTCTTTTCATGGTATATTTTCTCGCGGACATCCCCCCACACCAAGATTGTGGTAAGATGAGGCCGAGGCAATGCACGGGTTGCGGCTGACAAACTGATGCACTCGGACTTGCCGTCATCGCTCAACCATGATACGCGCCACAAAAGGTGTACAATGGATCAATCGATATATTTTGCAGGCAACTTTGGTCTTGTTTCGGTGGGTTGTCTTGGCTCTGCAGTCCGAGTCGACCTTACCGGAACCGCCAGACCGAAACAGCTCTTTGCTCTTTGTCTTCGATTTACGATATTGCGATTTCTGTGTTCATGCAGCAGTGTACAATCCACCCCCATGGGTACTTTTGGTGAGTTTGCGTGCTCGTCGGTAGGGACAGCCAAGCAAAACCGTCGTGGGGGCAGACAAGCTTGCCTACGCGCATACTCTTCTCGCGGGGGAGGACATCGCCAACGATAGGTGTGGGAGTCGATGCATTGTGCGCGTCAGCTTGTTCGAAGAAAAAAACGATCTGTCTTTTCCCCATGTTTGTACCGGTCGCCTCGGTGGTCTAGTTGGTATCTTCGAAACCTTCTAGAGGTTTGGTCAGGGGCTCGAATCCCGGCGTAAGCTTTTCTTGAAAAGTGAGTTTTTCTCTCGCTTCCCCTCCTGACCTAGTGGATAAGGCTAGTTCGTGTGCACACAGAAGGAAGAGAGNTCTCGCTTCCCCTCCTGACCTAGTGGATAAGGCTAGTTCGTGTGCACACAAGTGCACACAGAAGGAAGAGATTGCTCGCATTCAAAATGAAAGGCAAAGTACCGCAGGAGGGAAGGGTAGAGAGGGGCTCTTCTGTGTGACCACGGATTGGAGTAAAGTGGCACTCGTGCTGTGAGCGCTGATTTGAAGTGAAGACAAAAAACAAAATACCAGTAAGAATAAAATATGTGCATGCAGCAACCCTGACAAGAGGTAAAATTACTACGTAGTACTGCTGTGTCTTCTCCGTATGCAAGACACGGTCGCTCTCGAATCGGCGAAACTGCAGATGGTAAATGCATGTGGGCCCGTTTCGTCCATTGGGGTGTCTTGCGGTGAACTTGTGATGGAAGCCGGCCCATGCCGATGATTGGTTTCAAAGATTCAGGCTGCTGGTGTAGGATGCCTCGGGTCCCGCCCTGCCCTTCTAGACTAGTCTACAGCAGTCTACACCACACATATGGTTGAACCTCGGATGTCTCACCTGGAGCAAAGATATTCACCACGAACAAGACCAAAGCGGGGAACTTGCGGAACGACGGGGGGTCCATGAAAGAGTTTCCTGCCATTGTGCTGCTCGTTCTCTCCTTGGTCCTCTTCTGTTGGGTACGTCGTGCTTGCGGTTTTGTACAGCGGATGGTATCGACAAGTTGCGAAAATATTCCTAAATTACGCCGAACCGCAATCTCGTTGGTACGTATCCNGAGTTTCCTGCCATTGTGCTGCTCGTTCTCTCCTTGGTCCTCTTCTGTTGCGTACGTCGTGCTTGTGGTTTTGTGCAGCGGATGGTATCGACAAGTTGCGAAAATATTCCTAAATTACGCCGAACCGCAATCTCGTTGGTACGTATCATCGAAACCTTCTAGAGGTCGGGTCAGGGGTTCGAATCCCCGCCGAGCATTCTAGAGCTGTGAACACTGATTTCAAGTAGAAACAAAAAAACACACACACGCAAAAAAAAAAAAATACGTATTCCTGACCTCCGAACAATTTCGAGGCTCCCGCTCCCCGCTCCCCCACCGCGCACACCTAACGTGATCGCTGGTGTGGTCGTTTACGGGAGCATGGCGATCACGAGGAAGACGTTCATAGATCCTCCGGTGCTCCGCAAGCCGCTGGCCTTCGTGTTGTTGGTTGTCAACGTCTTTTTCCCCGGTAAGGAAAGCGGCGGTGTACCCTAGCTAGGTTGCTGTTGTTGCTGCTGTGACTCCCTTTGTTGTTTATTTCGTGCTCTTGCTACGCCGCTGTCTAGGCTTCTGCTGCCTGGCCGTTGCTCACAGTAGTCCTGTCGTCGCTGTAATCTATTCCTTCCTCTCGAACCTTAGCTCCGACTTTCTGCCTTAGGCACGGGGGCTGACCTTCTTCTGAAGCTGCACCCTTCGGAAATGCGTAGAGCGGGCCGACCCTCGCGAGCGCGAGATTTGCGCAAGTTGTCGCTCCACTGCTGGGGCTAAACAAATAGGCGCTCCTGTAGACTGGCTTCTCCCACCATCAAGGCAACATCGATACATGGACCACATAGTGAAGTTCATTCACCG